TTGCAGTTAAAATTTGACAGATGGAAAAGTGTTATTGAAAAGAAAGGGTTAAAAGTTAATATTGGTAAGACGAAGGTAATGGTGAGTGGGGAAGGTGGGGAGCGAGTGATAAGTAAAATAGACCCCTGCGGGGTATGTGATAGGAGAGTGAAGGCTAACTCAGTATTGTGTATAGGATGTCAGAAATGGGTGCATAAGAGATGTAGTGGTGTGAGGGGGGCACTGAAAAAGGTGGAAGGCACGTTCAAATGTAAGAAATGTGTTCATGGTGTGATTAATAGGACGGACGCAAGGACGGGGTTGAGTGGTGGTATTGAAAGAGTGGAAAGCTTTGTTTACTTAGGGGATAAGCTGAATGCGGATGGAGGATGCTTGAGCGCAGTTACGGCTAGAGTTCGTGTGGGATGGATGAAATTTAGGGAACTGGGTGGGGTATTGTGTGGAAAGAAATGGTCAGTGAAGATGAAAGGGAGGGTATATAAAGCATGTGTGAGAGCAGCGATGGTATATGGTGGTGAAACTTGGGTGTTGAGGAGAGAGGAGGAAAGTGTACTGCAGAGGGCTGAAAGAGCTATGGTGAGGATGATGTGTGGGGTTAAAGTGAAGGATAGGAGGAGTAGTATAGAGCTGATGTCAATGATGGGACTGAATGAGGACATTGCGACATTGATAAGGAGATCGAGATTGCGGTGGTATGGACATGTGTTGAGAAGGGATGAAAGGGTCGGGATTAGGCGAGCGTTGGAGTTCGAGGTTGAAGGAGTGGTAGGAAGGGGTCGTCCGCGATTGGGATGGAGAGAGCAGGTGGAGAAGGACAGGGTGAAAGCGGGGTTGCGTGATACTGAGGCGAGTGACAGATGTGGATGGCGTCGAGGGGTATTTCGGTTTCATCATAGGTAGCCAAACGGCAACCCCCGATCTCGGGGAAAATGCCGTCTAAACGTGTGTTGTGTTGTTGTTGTTGTATGTTGTTCATGGCTTTGCCCAATTGCACATTAACTTCATAATTTTCATCTAAGAAAAACAGCCACTTGAAGATCTCAGCTTGTGCGACCAATCTATTGGATTAATTAAAAGATTAGCGATATTTTGCAGACTAATCATTATTATTAGTTATTAAAGATTAAAACGTTAATCAATGATTAATGTTCCAGGGTCATAAATAAATTGAGAACGTGAATGCAGCGATCAATACTTGAATGAATTTTTATTTTTTTTTTATTTACAGCCATTGTTTTTTATTTACAACTAGTAAACTGTGCGCTAGGAATGACGGTGGTTTCATTATTATTATTTATTACTTTCATTCAAAATTTGTTAACAGTAGTAAATTTCGTTAAAAAATTTAATTTTTAGTGATTCATTATTTATTTCGTCTTTTTTAGTTTGAGAATTAAATCCTATAACTATTAGCCTTCAAATTGTTCGTTGATGAAGCAACAGAATGTGCAAAATTGAATATTTATTCACAACAGTCATTGAATTACACAGAAATTGAAATGAGACATTCGACCTAAACGTTGGCTTAAACTTTGACGTCACCATACTTATCGCCCTCAATCGCCCAAACACAACTGCCAGGATATCCTTGCACCAATCATGGCGCACGTGTGACGTCAACGCTGCTCTTCCTTCCGGTAAAGTTTGTAAAGGAAAAATACGATAGGGCAGTAGTAGTGTAAAACAACCATTAACCATTGATGTTTCTAAATAAAGTTAACTAATCATTACCTCTCATATAATCATAAAAATCTATAATATAAAAGTTACACATTATTAATAAACAAGTCTTTTTCCACATAACAATGAAAAACTCATTCACATAAAAAATATTCCAGTCGATCCTCGTGGTCGTCCACGGACATATAAAATAATAAATAAATATCATTAACGAGCATAACAATGATTCCTATAAAAAAGTAAATAAATGTTATTCAAATATATTGATAAATAATTATTCCACTTTCACACTCGTACCAGGTGTTATCAATTCTCGTCTGAGTGGCCTTACAAGTGCTCGTTTCCGGCCTCCCGGTGCTCGCTACTCATCTATATATATATATCATATATAACATATATATATATATATATATTATATTATATATATATTATATATATTACCATGGATATATATATAGGATTAAGACTGTCGGAAATGCAATTATAGATGAAAATCACAGCATGTTCGGCGTTAGTTAACTTCCAATTTAACTTTTAGATTTTTCTAACGGTTGATCGCCAATAATTTTCAAGTTTCTTTAGTTCAAAGCCAAAATTTTGTTGATTTTATGCATGATAAAACAAAAAAGCTTTTTTCGGTATTCTTATGCCAACTTCGGTGTTCAAATTGACATGTTGTGTATGTGCCCAGATGCTCAAATATATATATATATATATATATATAGATGTACTGTGCCTCTACTCTACTTTGTTGATTCCTTGTTTGTTGAAATTGAATACTTAACGCTCATTTAATTAATTTTACAATCTTCAGCTTCGCTAAATGTAACATTTTTACGTGTTTTCATTATCGATGATTCCTCTGTTTCTATATTTATTGGTAGGAAAAATTCCAATTGCACGTTTCCAGTTGAATATTTATTATCGGATGTCTTTATTCTATAAGTATTTCAATATTGTGGTCCTAGATTTGTTGAATAATTTTAGTTTTGTGTTTCTTTCTCTTTCATGTGATTCTTTATAGCGCCAGTTTGTACGTGCATTGTGAGTCTTCTCGATAACTTGGCCGTCGTCATACCAATATATTCAGAATTATTGTGCCCACACTCACCAATATTACATTTATTACAATATTACAGCCAATATATTTTCTTTGTTATGTTTATTGGTGGTCTTTGTATTGTTTGTTTGTGTGTGTGTGTGTGTGTGTGTGTGTGTGCGTGGTGCGTGTGAGTGTGCGTGTGTGTGCGTGTGAAAAATTGAAAAATTATAATTGAATCAGATCAGTCAGTCAACGAACCATGATTCTGGCATCCAACTGGACAAGAAATTTGCGTGATGGAAACCTGAAAATTATAAGAAACGTACGTTATTGAGAGTATCACATAAAACTGAAATATTGTGAATGAATAATATAATATTGAATAATGAGTTCAAACTAAAAACCAACATGCCAGATAACAATAACCAATTTGATTTCATAGCCTTTATTAGCCGTCTATTTGACAAGTCCTATCTCATATTCAACTAAAGTGTCGCTATCTCAAATTTAACTAAATGTCGACTTCAACGACAAGTTACTCCAGATTGAAAAGACTCTGTTAGTAAAGAATAGCACACAAAAAACCCACAAATTGAATTGACAAATGTCATCCATTATAAAATTTTTTCATGACAAAAAATATAACTCACTATTAACGAAAAGGTTTTGAACCTACTCACTTACATACGCATTTAACCTGCATGCGAGCAAGCAAGGTACGCCACACTGTTAAATGAATCAAATCGCAATCAACATACATGACACAACCCGAAATACAAAAGGCATACAAACAACATACAACCGAGCGGACGAAAGAATATGTATGATGTATAATGGTAGGTTAACAAAAGCAAAACAAATGGATCAATAGTTGTTCAACATGTGCTTTGCTTGACGTACCATGCTCTAGCATTGAAATACCAGCAACTAAGTAATAGTTAAATAATATATCGATGACGATAATATAAATTTCATTTAAAATTTGCTGTTGTTGTGGTAACTGTAGTTGCTGCAGATGTTGCTACTGCCAGGCCTGTGGTCATCAGATTTATTGAAACTATTTGACAAACATGACAAATCACAGTAACATTGATATGCAATAGACACTGAGTAGCCCACACATACACATAATATCAATCTTCGTTTTGCGTCCAGAGACCCGGTTTCCCGAGGTAGGACGTTGTTTTCTTTGCCATCAACTTTTTGCGCCAAATTAGACGATCAGTTGTATCCATTTCATTTAAATTTAAAGCTTTCATGTCTTGCTCGATTGTTTGCGACCAGGACTTCTTTGGACGGCCTTTGGGACGTGTGCCAGGTACTTCAACATCTGCAAGAGAAGTTATGGCACTGTTTCCACTTCGTTTGACATGACCAAACCACCGCAGACGGTGTTGCCGGCATTCGTCCTTTATATCATCTAAACCAGCACGACGAAGAATTTCGGTAGATTTGATGTGGTCCTTCAGACTAATTCGTTGCATCCATCGGAGCATTTTCATGTCGGTTCGTTGAAGTTGTTGTTCCAGTTTGGTTGTCATTGGCCATGTTTCTGCACCATATAACAACACCCGGCATATTACAGATTTATAAAGTCTTGATCGTAGTGGTAGTGGGATGTCACGCCGCATCAATATAGAGGCAAGGAGATGCCATTTATTCCAGGCTGCACGTATGCGTGCTCGAACGGCAGCTTCAGCTGTTCCAGTACAATCCAGAACATCTCCTAGATATTGAAACGATGTGACTTTCTCTATTTTAATGGCTTCAAAAACAGTGCTATTTCGATTTTGTTGTTGTGGATTGATGCAAGCAGGACAAACAAAATTGGACACTTTAGATAAAGTACCAATTATTTTTGAACAACGTTTGTGACACCACTGGTTACACTGCTGACACTTGATTGAATTGTTACCTACACCACCAGCTTTACAAACTGAACAGGGCCATCGTCCAGTAGCTGTGGACTGGATGGGTTCACCAGTGTTCATTGCTTTGGTTTTGCTGATGTTGACTTTGAATCCATGATCATGATAGTACACATATACACATGAACACATTAATACGCATACGCATACTCCCAACATGTCACCTTCAAAATGCTTATTCAGAATGGTGTCAAATGATTGCTTTAAAAATTGCACATTATAAGAAATTTCCAGCTTACAGGACGATGTACAAACGGATAAACAAGATCTCATGAATGCTAGTTGCACGTTGGATATATAGAAACTCAGTTCCAGACAAACTCTGACGGAAGTGTTGTCGTGCATGTTCATGAACAATCTTACATCTGTAACGCTTGTGTGCGCGCAAGAGTAAGATATTTGAACAATCTGCATGAATGTTTAAATCATAATTATCTTGAAATATCTCGATGCCACACCTTGCATTCCATTATAAAAATACGGAACAACACTCATTTGTAGATTTAAAATTTATATGTACAGGAGAAACTAACGAAACATTAACATGTGCAGCAAGAGGAATTTATGCGATAAACAGATGAACGATACTTAAACGGAAGCACTTTTTCTCGTATTTTTTAAAGCCAGTAGATGGAGATAGCAATGCAATAAAGTTTATAATTCTATGAAAAAAATTAACGAAGTTCATGGTTTCTGATAACTAGTGAATCGGCCATCAAGTCAGATGGGAATATTGAGCTGAGAACATCAAGCACATGTACTGGCGGTAGTATCATTGTATGACTATTCTGATATAGTGTGCATCATCTAAAGCCAGTATAGTATTAATAACAAATACGGTAGCAGTTATATTAATTATAATTAAAAAGAATGATTACATCATTACCAACTCAACACCTTAATACTAACTCTAATTACAACGAAGAACAAGGAAATGACAACAACAAAGAAGATGAAGAATACGACACCAACTCATTTTTTTGTTCTTTATTATGCAGCTCTGACATACGCAGAACCTCTTACACGTCATCGCTGCATTTAAACCTTCGTTCCCCAAAACCTATACTTCCTACACCACACGACGTACATACACATTATGTATTATGCATGCGCAAGTACGGCATCATACGCGCATGGCGTATGATATGATAGTCAGTGAGTTTCGGCGGACCGACAGTATTTGAACCAGGCCACCGTGTAACTGCACGAGACATGGTATATAAAACGTACGCCTTACGAGTGTGAATCAAATTAGCAGATCAAAGTAGTACGTAGATGATCAAACGAAACTCATTAGGTCATTTTCAAACATCAATTCAGTCATTCATCCATTCAGTCATAATTCATACTTGCAATTCATTCATTTGTACGTTAACTCGATCACGTTAACTTGATCTTTTTTTATGCAGACGATGTTTTCTTCATCGTGTCGCATTCATTTTGAACGTTTCCGTTCATTAATTAATAATTAATTATATTTTTTATAATTATTATTTAATTAATTAACTATTATTCTATAACATTTAATTAATTAGTTAATTATTATTGATTAACCGCTCCATTGGTTAAATTATTGAATATTCACATATACACAACATACATCAGTCAGTATTTGAATTAGCTTAAACTAGAGAGTCTAGACAACAAATTAAAATGTTTAATTATAATATTGAACATTCGATCAATCAATCCACCGAATATTAGATTTATACAACAAACATGAATAGTATCAAGAGCAAGTAAACTAAAAAAACATGTCTATGATGAAACTTCTAATTAATTTTTCATTCATTTATTCATTCATTCACTCATTCGTTCATTCGTTCGTTCATTCATTCATTCATTCACACATACATTCATCCATTCACTCACCCATTCATTTGTTCGTTCATTCATTCAACTACATACCATTCATTTCACTAGCTGCCCTACCTGTGTTCGTACATGACATATATTTCTTTGTCCAATCAATTACATACTCACTAATTTTAGCCACCGAGATCAATATAACGAATAGCTAGCTCCAACTCACACTCACTCACTCACAAACATGTACACACACACACACACAAATACACACTCACACACACACAAACACGCATACAGTTTTGTATTTTCGGATTCCAACAAAACTATTAAAACTTTTCAACATCATTATTCTCAAGTTAAAGTTTCGACGACTACATACATGCTTGCCCTCGTTTGAATTATTTATTTACATTTTAACGCCATTTATTCTTTTAATTTGCATTTCGTGACTTTATTTATTTAATTTTTATATTTTTGTAATAGTTTTCTTTGTTTATTTATTTAAATTTTTTAAATTTTTAAAATAGTTATCTGCGAATTCATCAGTTTAAATTTAATCATTACAGTTTAACATAATAAATGAGAATGGAAAATAACTCAAGTGATTAAACTGATAGCAGGTCAATAACAGTTCGGTCCCTTGTATTGAAGAGATATCAGTTATAATCACTCTTGTTTAATTTTTCATCATTTTGCTTTATTTCATTGTACAGCAATTTACCATCAATCATCACCCATCTCTATATCCCATATTCCTAATTCATCACCAATAGCTAGGTCCATTTTCCAAAAAAAAAACAAACAAAGCATTCGACAAACCATAAAATCAGAAAATAATGCAACTCAATATTCAACCGACCATCATTCATGTTTCAGATTCAATTTAGCAAATAATCGAGTTTAATCGAGTGCACGTCCATGAAAAGAGGCACATTGAACATTTAATGATAGCAACCGTCGTGTACGAACTACAAGCAGCCGAGCAACCGACGGACCGCTGGACCGACTAACCAACTAATCAACCGAACGACCGACCGACCATGCAACTAATGAAGCAGCCGGCTAACCAACCAACCGAATGAATGACTGACTGACCGGTCAAATGAAATCAGCCAACCAACTGACTGATCGACGAACCAACCAACCCACCAACCAGGCAACCAACCAACCAACAGATCAACCAGCCAACCGACCAACCAGCCAACCGACTAGCTGACCAGCCAGCCGACTGATTGACGGACCGACCGACCGACCGACCAAGCAATCAACCAACCTAGTTTGCAGAGCACAACAACAATCATGAAGATGCTGAGAATGAGCGGTTGTTTGACATAATCAAACTTGATGCTGGCAACGTGAATGCCGTGATGTTGGTGATCGCCATGGTGCTGGTCATGGTTGTGATGGCTGCCATTGCCATGATAATCATCGTGAGACGTATTTTCATGGTCATCATCGTGTTGGATGGTCAGATGTTGTTGGTCGTGATGAGGTGACGCGGTGCTCTGAGCGCGGTCGTGCTTCGTTGATGGAAGGTTGTCTTGTGGAGTCGGTAGATCTTCATAATAATCAGGTGATGATGAGGATGGTGAGATAGTGATAGAGATTATAATGATAATGATGAGGGCGATGGTGGTTGCTGCTGTATGTTTGAGAGGCATTGTTCATTCGGTCAGGAGGCATTTGATGTCTATAACATGGTCAGGCTGCCGAACTGCTGACAAGTAAATGTTAATCATTGTTATCGTCAATCAAATTATTTAAAGTTAGAGCCAGAATAAATCAACATCTATCAAGATCAACTAAATTTCAACTAAATTAAATATTTTCCTGTAGTTTGTCTCAAACAAAAAATTTGGTAAAACAAACTGAGGTGGTGCCGATGGACTAAATTGTGCATAGTTCAAGGAAATAAACATCCTTGATTAGAGAAAGAAAACATGAACTCAATCCAAGATGGATAACATATTCGTGCAAAAATGCATGCACATGCATGTGTGTATGTGTGCGCGTGTGTGCGTCGATATACGTACAATATGTCGGTGTGTGTGTGTGTGTGTGCTGGGTTACAACTTCTAAAATATTGTTTTCTAATTAGTTCTAAGTGTTAAAAGAGTTAGTAGTGAATGAATAGAACAAATAGGCGGGGAACCGCTTATTGTTATCTAGATATTGATCGCAACACGAGAACGGGAATGAATATCTCGATACTGCAAACCCCTATTGAGTTTAGTATCATGATACTGTGTTGTAAATATAATTATTAATTGATACAAAACAATTCCAGCATCATCAATACAATAACGAAATAACAACTTGACAATATTGTACTATATTGTATATATATTATATAAAGAATATATGATACAAATATGATATATGACATTCAGGTTGAGACTGTAGTAGATACAATACGAAATATCAAAAAATTGAACCATAAACTGATCAAAGCTGATAATGCAGTGTTTTTCTTACCAATACGATATATATATATATGTGTGTGTGTGTGTGTGTGTGTGTGTGTGTGTGTGTGTGTGTGTGTGTGTGTGTGTGTGTGAAATTAGAATTACTAATAAAAATTAAATAAAACAATGCATGTCGTGGTGGTACATTTTTATATAACAATAAAACATTTTAGGAATCCTACATTTCCGTGCTACATGTAACGATCAATTTAATTCCATATGACGTTGAGACAAATCAAACATCCTGACTTATAAGAGAACTTTGACAATGTCTCATTTAAATGGCTATTGATTGTTGTATGGCTATATTTTGTGTAGTGGGTGAACACGCAAAACAAATAAAACAGTGAATCACTTGCATTTAACTATGCATTTAATTTTGTTCTGTTCTTCACAAATAAACCTTACTTAAACATGTCTGCGAAGAATAAATTTAAATGGAAAATTAAAAAAAAACTGCAATTAAGAATATGTGATTATCAATTGATAGGTACCTCAATTGATGCACTGAAGATGAAGACGAATAATCCTGTGAATATCCAACACAGGCATCCAGATTATATGAATTGTTATGAATATTAATTTTTGAATTATAGAAATATTTTCCTATCTTCATTAGATTCTAACAGGTCTATAATTAAAATTATGAATTGGGTTATAAAATGGGACTACATACTAAACAATACAATATATTATAACAATATAGAGCAAACGAATATTTTGTTTGCAAGTTATTTTTACATAATTAATTTAAATTTAAATCAAAAGGCTTTTTTTCAATTGCAAAATGTCTCATTTCTAAGACTTCTTTAATTTTTTTGAAAAATAAAAAAAATGAAAGAATAGATGCAAGTTTTAGTTAAATCAAAAAACCTAAAAAGGATGAACTTTAATTGGAAAAGATTATAAATAAACAATAAATAAATAATTAAATATATAAATGAATAAATTCATGCACAAATCAGACGCAGCTAACAAACAGATTGTTACTATCAACTACTAACAACAATTCAACAGCAATAACACACACACCTCAACAACTCAATTGAATGAACATTGCCCAACAGAAGCATTCGATTCGAAACAACTAGAGATATATTGAGAAGCCTTAGTAGCATGTATGTAATATAACTAACTGTATGTAAACAAAGCTTACAATAACATAATTAGGAATATACCTATATAGACACAACATAAATATAGATATAGACATATTTATACATATATAGCACAATACGGCACGTAAAATATCCTATTGTACGTATAAATTTATATAGAATTGTTATAAAAGAATGAATGAATGAATTATAAAATGATCACAATATATGAATAAGAAAAGAAATTATGAATAGACAAATAAATTTAAAATAAGATTTATAGTAAAATAAATTGAACGATATATAAATTAAATATTCGTCTGAATAAATTATACTTTTTTACAAATTTTTCATAAATTAATTAATAAAAGACTTCACACAGATGAGGCCTGACAAGTCGGAATTACTATGCACTCGATTCGAACACGGTCACTAGGCATCTTAAACTGCACACTATCTTGCCGCAAACAAATATAACTAAATTTATTGTTTGTTTTTTTTTCATTTGGGTTATTATAAAATCACATCAATGATAACACAACAATGATGACTGTTAAGAAAATAAAACAAACAACTAAAACTAAGAAATACGCCTAACTAAAACTAAGAAAAACAGCTGCAACAAATAAAATTAACAAAAATGTTTTGTAATTCTTAATAATAATTCTTACAAAACTTACGATCATGAACATAATAAAAATATTAACTAACAAATGAAAGGTAGGAATATCAAATATCGATATGGTTTTATTAGGGCAACAATGCTTTCCAACATTAATAAGCCATGGAAATGCATATCTTTATTATTAACACATACATAATATATAACTATAAAATATATATAAAATATGTATATGGTTGTGTATAATGGTTGTAATGTGCATAAAATGCACTGCTGGTATGATTGTCGTGGGCTGATATTTACTCGCTTGCCATATAAAACTTCAAAAATACGCTTGAACGATATATATATATATATATATATATATATATATACATTGATATGTACATTTTAACAAGCATATATAACATATTTATGTTGGACAAAACAATCAAAAAACGTGTTTAGAGGCAAAAGAGAAATGTTAAGTGTGAAATCATTGAGAAGATCAAAAACAGTGGTTTTTGAGAAGAAATATGAAAATTAGTTGGACCTCTCATATCTCCAATGGGAATGTACTAAAACAGTCCGGTTATTAAAAGAGGAAATTACAAATAATCCGACGGTAGCGGTTAAAGTTTTTTAGTCACATCATGCGGAAGGAAGGAATAGAAAATCTAACAACTATTGGAAAGATTGCAGGAGGAAGTTGTTGAATATCACCACATTTCAACTACTACAATGAGGTAAAGATCAAGATTTGTAGATTTCGATGGTCGCCACTGTCCTGAAAGGATAAGGAACGAGAAAGAAAAAAAGTATGAATGTGTGTGACAGATTCTATAGGTATATAGACATATACCAACACAAATTATCATTACATGCCATGAGATAGTTGTTGCTTACAATGCTTAATTATGAGGCAACGTGGACAAATTACCAAAACAAAACTCAAAAATTTTAAAATCAGGAAAGTAGACAGATGCAAAGCGAACATAGAAATTATATCAAAACGATTTATATATTTCAGAATGAGTAAGCAAGTTATTGACAGTCTCAAAGTTTGTAATATTAGTGTAAACACTTGATTCGCTACTTTAAGCATTTCTATATGGGTCTATGATTTAGTTTTTAACATTAACTTGCTATAAGCATTGCCGCACATATTATAACTAATAATAAATATTTAAGGTGAACAGAATTCTGATTGAACCCAAATAATTTTAAGTTAAAAGTGTAATGGATAAAGATGCATTGATACTTGTCTAAAGTAATAAATTTAGGCATTAATTGTTAACAATGTATTGGGTTATTGATGAATTCATCTACTTAGCTGTATAGGCACTAGACAGCGCAAAACAATTATGTTCACAATGATGGTGATGGTTATGACGCTGAAAGTGATGATGATAATGACAGTGATTATGGTAATGACAAAATAAAGATCTTGACAAGTTACACCATTTCCTTCATCTTATAATCTTTTTATATGCTCTCGACATAGTCGCTGTCATGGTTAACATAAACATCATCAGCAATCGAATTTTAAAAAATTTATCTAAGATATGTTACGAAAGAAAGGTCCAAAACATTAAATAGTTGAACAGGGTAACAAAAACAAAATGAAAAACCGATAAAAACAAGGGAAAATAAACACAAAAACGTGAACAAAGCAACTAAAGTCATAAGAATTATAAAATGAAGAGATACAAATGAATAATCACAAAGCCAGACATAAAAGAGAGCAGAAGATACATAGAAAATTAACAAAAATGACAGCTAATCGTATTCAGGCAGTGAAACCTAGCCCACCCAAATAATGAAAAACCGACTTAGCATTAAATTCAAAGTAAGAACAAACATGGGATTGGCTTGAACGCACATGCACATTAGACTTGCATATAAGCAAACATCAGATCTAATAACAGAGCAGATGCAAACATTTAGAAACAAATGAAACAAAATATATTACCAATAAGCATACAACAAACACTCACTCAAAAAAAAAAAAAAAAAAAAAAAACATAAAACAGAGAGCAGAAAATCAAAGTCAGGTTGTGATAAACAGCCTGAGTGAGTCTGCATAATGAAAAGCAAGCAAACCTTTTGAACCAACCGATACAACCAACCAACCGATACAATCAACCAACCGATACAATCAACCAACCGATACAATCAACCAACCGATACAATCAACCAACCGATACAATCAACCAACCGATACAATCAACCAACCGATACAATCAACCAACCGATCGAACATAAAAGCAACAAAAACAAGCACGTTAATTACAAAATTAGACCACAAATAAACATGAAAAAAAGTTCGTTATACTGTTTAAAAATAACAATAAATAAACGCAAATACCATAAAAAAAACATTAAACCAAAGTAGTGGAGTATAAAACATAAGAAATGCAACAAAAAGCTATTAAAATTAAATACTACAGTTCAAATCACTCTCTCAACAACATTCCACAAAATTCAAAACAATGCCTGGGGTAAACACAAACGCATCTGAAGACAAACATTCAAACATTTAAACTAAAAAAAAGGGAAACCACACTTCAACTAAATTTCAGGTGGAAAAAAGCAAAAATTTGAACAAGGAATAAAAAGATGCAGATTTTTTTAAATCAAATAAACAAATGCTATATAAAATATACGTGTGTGTGTGTGTGTGTATGTGTGTGTGTGTGTGTGTGTGTGTGTGTGTGTGTGTGTGTGTGTGTTTGTAGTTGTATATTTCCTCATGCATGATTCCATGTGATCGTCATCATCGGTGGCATGGGTCCATTGAGTGAGTGAAACGTATATGAATGACAAAATAACATGTGCCATAAGCTGCTGTTTGCTATTATTGTTTCACTTGTTGCACTTATCAATCCCATGTGTCTCTACATACATACTTCATTCCATTAGACTTCAACTAACATAAAAATTTTCAAACAGTAAATGAGAGCCAAAATTAAATTAAATATCTGTGCTGGAAATATCTGTGAGAAAGATACCTTACAAAACAGGTGTACCATTGATTTTATAAGTTGCAGGTAGGGTAAGTAAATTTTACAAGATTTTATCTTTGTCAATGCTTGGCTGTGAAGTGATAGATTTATTATATAGATTGAAAATTTCATTCAGTGACTGGTGTTCTGTAGTTTCAACATAAAATTAAATTAAAAGTTATCCGTTGTTTGAATTAAAAATGAATTGAATATTATTTACATTTAGGAGATGACTAATGAGTTTTTAAAGAAAGTATTTCATGTCATAATTATGATTTTTGTATAATGAGTTATTAAAATTGATTTTATTACAATTACAGTTATGATTATTTATTACAAAATTTTCACCACATGCTTTGTGAACAGAATAAATTAAATGTCAACTAATAAAATGATAAATAATAATAATTTTTTCAAACATAAAATATTTCTATTATAATACTTTTTTAGTATGTAAACCATTTAAAAAATCCTACTTATATTTTAAAACCTCAAGACATTAATTAGTTTAATAAAAAATACTTTAATTTTTACACTCAAATAAATTAATGAACCACCTACATATACACATAAAGTGATTGAAACTAAAATTAATTAATATAATTATAATAAAAATACATTCAATGATTTTATTTATTTATTTATTTATTAAGTATAAAGTTAAAGAATGAATAAAAAAAACATTGACAGCAATTTTTTAATTAAACTAATAAATCTAAATGTCATAATAAATATTAATTAATTAATAATTTATCTATTGGTCAGTATACAATACTTTCAACTTCTTTACTGTGTATTTCCTACTATATTACACTGTTTATCTATGATGTCCATGAGTATGTTATGTATTAAATTAATAAAGTCAAAAGTGTTTGTATTATAATTGTATAATATTTGTGCATAGTTGACAGTAGACACCATAAGCAACTTTTGATTAAACTAAATATTTTAAACTTAATACAACCAATGAAGGTTGAAGACATGAAAATTTCTTATTTTCATAATTTACTATATAACACTTAGATTTCATTTAACTAAGTATGTGCTTATTTATTTAATATGATGCTGACCACCAGAGTACAACTGACAACACATCCAGTATCAGTCCAATATGATGACAACCACAAAGTCAAAAAGTTAAGAAATTTATTAAATATGCATCTAACTTTTACATTTTAAAATTTCATATAACATAAACAAAACATGCACGTTTTATTGCACGTTTTTTCACTTTAACAGTACAGACTAACTAAAACAACAACTCAAAATTGTATTTCCAATTTTTTAAAAATAAATAAAAAAATTGTTAGCAAATGAAATATTTTATTTTATTTATAACGACTAACCTTGAATTAAAATAAGTTGGACTAAGTCAAGCAAACCACCTACGTTAATTACACTCACCGTGTTATGACATCAAGACCATTTCATTAATTACAAATTATAATGCCGCACAACCTGCCCAATTTTCATCACAAGCATGTTTACAGTGGTTGTCAGAGGTGAGAGGTAGAATTAAAAGTGAAAGTATTTTTTTGCGCTGTTATAAAATTATTGACAGATATAAGTTCAGACATCACGGTTTTGCCGATGATATTCAGATCATGGCTAGTGCCTCCTTTTGCCGTTCTGATGATCTGGTCTGTAGACTCAGATTATGTCTGTCGGAAATTAATGAGTGGATGATAGCAACAGGCTTAAATTGAATCAATCAAAAACTCAGTTTTTACCGGTTGGCACTAGAACTGGAAAAATGAACATTGAGTCTATCAGACTTGGTGATTCTGACATTAAATTTTGCACATCTGCGCGCCTTTTAACGTTCATGCTGGGGCAGTTTTGAAAGAATGCTCTGGACAATTGCGTAGGCTTAGGCGCGTCCAAACGATCTTAAAGCAATCCTACTCTTCAATGTTTTGTTCATTTCTTTATCCACTCAAAAATAGACTATTGCAATAGTCTATATTACGGCCTGTCTGGTGTAAATATGTCTAGACTAAACTCTATTCAAAATTGGGCTGCAAGGTTGGTTTCAGGTGGCCTTAAATACGCGATCACGTTAAGCCAATTCTTTTTGCTCTTCACTGGCTTCCGGTTTATCAAAGAGTTATTTTCAAGATATGTTTAATGGTTTTTAAATGTATTAAAGGAGTTGCCCCTAAATGTCACTGACAGAGTAATTCTTAGAACAATGCCACTGTCGAGTCANACATTGCGCTCTGACTTCAGTTTACTGTTTGTACCTGA